GGAGGACAAGCTGCACATAAACAGGCGAGTTGAGGAGAAAGATAGCGCGGAAATACAGGCAGCCTAAAAAAAAAAAAAAAAAAAAAAAAAAAAAAAAAAAAAAAAAAAAAAAAAAAAAAAAAAAAAACAGAAAAAAAAACGCACATGCAACACGAGGCAGCGAGGGGTAAATGGGGAGGGAGGACTGCGGGCGAGGTCCTACAAGGTAGCAAAGTGGATTGGATTGCATGCACGAATCTGGACGGGTTAGTGGAAACGTGCAGAGAATCGGGATTCAGCTGCTTGTCCTCATCGGTTCATCCAATCTTTTTTATGCGAGCGGGGACCTCTCCCTCGGGCCAAGTCCCACTAGCAGCTGAATCTGGACGCTTTTGCGGAGATGTGCAGAAATGGTGTTGAGTTTCATGAACTGCACCTCTCCTCAAACACATCCAGATTCATGCGTTGAGGTAGCTCAACGCTGCTACCGGCAGTGGGACTTGGCCCCTGGGAGAGGGGTAAGTTGTCGGGTAGGTAGAGAAAGGAAGCGCGGAATGCGGGACGTTGAGAGGAAGCGGGGAGGCGGGCGGGCAGCGGGGGGGTCGGGTTGGGGGGGGGGGAGAAGGGGGGGAGCGGGGGGCGTGCTTGCGCTGAACGATCACCGAGTGAATGACGGTGGTCGGTACGATCAGTTGGACGTAAAAGGAAAGAAGAAATGCGAGATAGAGGAGGGGAAGTACAAAAAAAAGGAAAAACGACGACGGAAAAAAAAAGGGAAAAAAAAAGAAAAAGAAAAAAAGAGAAAAAGAAAAGACGGAGGAGCAATCGCTTGCTTATTCGCTTGTCGGAGGAAGATGGGCTTGTCGCGGAGACAGAAACGAACGGATGAGAATCGGCTGAGGGGCCATGGTCACAGCAAGACGTTCTTGCGTGTATCTCTCAATTACGGCAATGAATGGATGCATCTGGCCGGATTCTCGTCCAGATGCGTCGAGTCAAAGAGGTCGTTAGCCTGAGTACGCTGCAATTGATGATAGATCAGACGGCGGAGTTGAGCTGAGGCGGCTCATGAAATACCCACACAAAGCGGTTCCCTAAATGTATCTGATCGCGATCACGACCAGATTTGGATGAATCTGAAGGGCAATCACGTCCAGAGCTTAGCAGAAAAAGCTCGTGTGCGAGCGAGGCCTCAAGGGGATGACGGGGGAGAAACGGGCCAAATAGAAGAAGAAAGGTGGAGTCGCACCGGGGAGACTATATCGACCGAATGTAACTGCAAATGCGGATAGATGCGTAATGCCAGTCGCAGAGTGAGTGTCTAGCAGGATAGCAAGTGGAGCCTGTGGAGGGGAAAGTGAAGAGATGAGAAAATTAAGAAAGGAAGGGGGGGGGGGGGGAAAGGGGTTTTCAGAGGGCCCAGGGCCTGTCTCTTATACACATCTAGATGTGTATAAGAGACAGCTCCACTACTACGCACATGCACAAGAGACCAAAAAATTCAAGAAATATGGCCGTGTACGTTCCCATTTTCTACACTGTCAGGAAGATTCCTTCTCTTTTTGCACATTTGGTGAGTACTGCAGTGAGACCCTATCTGGATAGCCAAATGGCGGAGTACTGAGGGCAAATGCCAGATGTCTAGCTTCTAACCTCTACAATTACCTGGGCTTTTCTGTAATTAAAAAAAAGGGAAAACGAAAACGTCAAGAGGAGTAAAGAGAGGCTTTTTGCCCCCTTCTTTTTCTGTTCAATAATTCGACATCTTCGTAAAATCCTGCAAAAAAACAAAAAAAAAACTGCAATCCTGAGACCAGAAAATGTCAAAGCGAGGAAAGAAAGCATCTTTGCAATAAATGTGCCTCGGGGATTGAGTAATTGCTGTGCTTGTATAGAATGAATTCGTTCCGTTCTACTTGTGGGGACCACCACCTGCTTGAAAACTGGGTCCAGTGTCCCTAATAGATAATTGATTGTTGCATTCATCTGCTTCTGTTGGGATTCGACCTACTTGTCTGTTTAGGAAGGGCCTTGTTACACTCTCCTCAGCGGGACCTCGGTCTCCAAGGACGAGTCCTAAGAAAAAAACTAGGATTTTTATCGTCTTCATTCGACTCACATCCTTGGAGTGTCGGCTTTCCGACTACTAGTCCTTCGAGGGATGTCAGGAAAAAGAAAAGAAAAGGGAAAACTAGGGTGCAGTTTGAAAATGTGTTTCAGTCACGATTTCGAGAATGTTGCTCCAAAGCGAGGAAAATCCTGAATGTATACAACCTAGCTTTAGGGTCGGGTGGGATGTGACATATTCAAGGGATGCCTGAAGTGGATTTAAAACTGAAATCCTGACTGCTCCCCAGTTACGCCAAAAGAAAAAGAAGTTTAAAACAGTTGTGCTTCAGGCGTTCAGCCAATAGGGTCCCACCATGATCTGGATTCTCTGTCCTAAAATTTCCACTGCGTGTATGCCCTCTCCTCTCCGTGAAAAGCTAGATGGTCGGCCTCCAAGGGACCTCGACCTCGCGAGGTCCCTTGGAACTTGGAAGGCAAGGACGAAATGGCTGGGGAATCCTAACGTCCTCGGAGTGTTTTCACATTTTCGGTCCTGATTTCATCTCCGAGTACTGTTTTCACATTTTTAATCCTGATTTCATCTCCGTGGACAGTGGAACAGCGATCAAATCCTTGGAATCACGGCCCTGAGTAGAGTCTTACGGCGCCTAACACATACATGCCCCCCCTTCATCTAACTTCAGTACCGTTCAGCGAATCTACTGGAGAAGCATCAGCAGCGCCATAGCAAACCTAGGATCAGGGGAGCTTGGCTCTCAGGGCATACTCAGGCTAGTACTATTTTCCTAGTACATGTATCTGACTGCACTCATGACCCAACATGGATGGATGAATCCGACCGCAATCACTTCCAGAGGTTAGTAGAAAAAGTCCTAGTGTGAGTATTCCCTCATACTGCTCTATCTACTCGGATTTTTTTTCTTTTTTTGAAACTCCCACTTTCTTTTGCACATAAAGAACAACAACTAC